AGTCCACATATCTTAAAGGTGCTAAGGTTGAGAAGTGCTGCATTAGAAACAGAAACAGATATCTGTCATCTCTCTCTCTCTCTCTCTCTCTCTCTCTCTCACAAGTGCCTCACCGCGAAAAGCAGCAAAAGAGGGCCACCGGATAAGTAAAAGAGAAACCGTGGGCTTCTTTGCCCACACCCATTATTAGGGCCAAGCGTGCCAGTGGTGGCGAAGATGAGCAAGAAACAGTTTTCGCTCGCTTTGCAATTTTGCTTTGCACAATCACGCGTGAGCTGATTGGGTCCAGAGGTCTGGAGAAATATGTGACCAGCACTAACAAAGAGATGTGTGTGGAAGGCAAGGGAGGGGGGAGACTGAAGACTGTGTGCCAAAGCCACCCTCTTCAAAATGAAGCCGGACAGCACCAGCACAAGCTTCCAGGTAATGGCTTCCCCCCACCGGCTTTGGGGATGGAAACCAAGCCCCCCAACCCTAAACCTTGGGCGAAAGATTCCTGCTGTTCTCCCCAAACGAATGCAGATTGCTAGGAGGAATGGGCCCGATTGTAAAGCTCACTTTTTGTGCCGGAGTCAGACTCCGTTGCTTCCCGTGCCCTCTGGCGCCAAGGGCAAGAAACACACAGCCCAGCCAAAGGAGAGCGGAAACACTTCCTTCTTTGTTTGCCCGATCGCCCGGAGATCGTGCAAATAACTTGCATATTTTCAGGGCTGGTGGAAGAGTGACTCTTTGAAAGTTTTGCTTCCCCCCTTTTCGGAGCATGGAGGGGTGACTTTAAAAAAATGAGCATGCTCTGTGTGGCGCTGAATGTGCTGGAATGCATAAAACAAAAAAGCTCGGCCAAGCATTGCCCCCCTCCCGAAATCTCTTTTAGAAAGATAAAAAGTCCCTTCATTTGAGCTTGACCACTGGTGGCTTCAAGGTCACAAGCCCGTGGTTTCCTTGGCAAAGTTTTAGAAGTCGGTTGTTCTTGCTTTCCTCCAGGAATGTAAAACATTGCAGGTTTTAAAAGATCTTAAATCTTACAGGATTTAAAAATCTAGCCTATAGCTTGCCGCTTGCCTTCTGCTCTCCCACGCCATTCAGGGAATAACCAGGCCTAAGCCTTAGATTTTTACAAACCTGAAATTCCTGTAAACGGAACAGTGAAAGACAAGAGCAAGGATGTGCTGAACCTGCCAGCTGATTACCCAAGATAGATGCTGTTTATTCCAGGTACATTCCCTCTCTTTTTAAGTTTGTAGAAAACCTCCTCAATAATTTATGAAACAAGACAGGAGTAGCTGTGTTTGATGCTCAGGAACTGTTGCTGCCTTCTTTTGACCTCGTTTCCCAAGGCTATTAATTAACAAGCCCCCAGCAGCAGTGAATCAGAGCAGCTGTAAAGAGCTGGAATAATGCAGTGCCTCTGGAATTATAGCACATTTTATACGAGCTGAGAGTGTTCATATGGTGCCATAAATATACCCACCATTTTCCACTTTTCTCCCTAAATCCTCCTCCCCAAAAGACTGAGATTATTTTTTCCAAAAGCTGGACAAATTGTTTCGATTCCTTATTTCGTTCAAAGCCAGCAGCTTTGTCTCAAGAAAAGAGCAACTCTAAACAGATTAAAACCATGGAAACTTCTTTTCACTTTTAAAATGGGTTGGCTGCTTCCAAAGGATGTTTAATTCCCACTAGTGCAGCCAATCCAGCGGAAGAGAGAAGGCTCCATAAAGACCTGGAGTTGGCTAAGAATTAGACAAACAATGCCCAATTAATTAGGAAAATGACCTAGTTTTAAGTTACCAACAATTCTCTTCAGTATGGAATTTGTGTAAGGTTCTTTTTTCCTAGTGTGTCCACTTCTGGTCTACTTTACATGGGTTCTGTTCCTTTTAATTTCTGAATCTGCAACTTAAAAGGAAAAAAACACAGTTTGAAAGTTGACATTTGGGACGTCCTCAGTTCGCTGAGTATATGCATTAATATGCCTATCAAACACTAAAATGCAGATTTTTAATGCACCCGGGTTATGTTTTTGAACTGAATCCCAACATTCGGATTCGTGTGAAACAGCCGGAACAACAAAGTGCATTCCAATTCACGCTTTAAATCAAGATATATGGATCAAGGCAGTTTGTCTTGAAATGCGGAGAAAAATTGTCTGCTTCAACTCCTGGCTTCTGCTCGAAGAACAGGGGGCAGCCGTGGATAAGAGGGCCTTTGCACAGGTTCACCTTGTGTGCCAGTTGCACCCGTTTCTGGACCAGGAAGAGTACTCGTGCCAACTCATGCCATATTTGCTTTCCATTTGGATTACTGTAATGTGCTTTACGAGGGGCTGTCTTGGAAGAGCATTGAGAACAGTGTTTCTGAACCTTGGCAACTTGAAGACGTGTGGACTTCAACTCCCAGAAT